GGACTTTCAAGCAGCGGGACTGGAAGATTCCAGTCCTGGTCGTCGTCGTCGGTGAAGTCCCGGCGCGGACTGAACGGGTTGTTGTTGGAGAACGCGCCAATGGGGTGCGGTGCTGGCTCGGGTGAGGGTGAGCGCACGCGGCGACGACGCGACTCGCCTGTCATGGCCATGTTGCTCATGACGTTGCGTACTGGGGCAGTCGATGACGACTGCTGCTGCTGATGCTGAACCGCTGGGCTCAGGTTGCGCGCGGGTGGGGGTTGATACCCCTGGGCTGGACGCACGTCGCCTCGTGCGTCTTGTCGGCCGGACCAGTTACTCGGATTGGTCTGGCGAGGGCGATATCGGGACTTGCATCGATCCGCCAAATGCCCGAAGTTTCTGCAGATTTTGCAGTAGAGGCGCCGCGGTCTTCGAAGATATTAACGAAGATTTCTTCCGAGATCGAGCTTCCTAGCTTCGCGATTTGGTCGCGAAGGCTCCGACAGCGATTGATGTAGCTGTTGGCCTTCTCCACTGGGGCCATTTTAGTTTCCAATAGCTGCTGGAGCAGCCAACTCGAAGAGACTGGGTCCTTCGGCTGATACACGCCGTTGAGATGGCGCCAGGCGTTGAGGGCTGGAGCGGCCGATGTTTTGTATGAGCGGATGCTCGATTGCTCCGCCGGCGACATGTTCCGCAGGAGCACCCCGTACGCCATCAGAGATTCGTTGTAATATCTTGCTTTGGCGTCGACGGTGTCCTCAGCGGGCTCCGCGTAACTCCCGTCGAAATAGTGAAAAATCTGAGCGTTCTGCAGCAGGAGCTCCAGCTCGAAGCTCTAGGTATAGAAGTCTCTGCCGTCGAAACACACACTTATCTTTATTTTTGATATGCTGAGAAACCTTGATTGCGCAGAGAGAATTGCCTCTTCACTTGGACGGGGAGTCTTGGGGGTTGAACCATTTGTGTCGAGGGAGAATGTGTGTGGGGCGGCGTTCTGGCCAGTTGGGGCTGGTTGAGAAGGTTGCGAGGATGTTCCCGCGTCGCCGTTCCGCAATGTTTGGAGCCCTTGCTCCAAGCTGGTGAGTCGCTGAAGAAGTTGTGCGAGGACTTCGGTGCCGATCGTCGTCGTTCCCTCGCTTGTCGCAGCCGAGTTGGGTTGCGCTTCAGCCGTCAGATTGGTCTGACCACCAGATCCTCTGGCCATTCTTACACGCGAGCGTGTGCCGGACGCCACTTTCCGAATGTCGTAATTTACGGGAGTGGCAGTGCGAAAGATTCCTGAGTCGCTCTCATACCATGTTGCGATCAGACGTAGATCGTAACCAGGATCACCTCAGGAAGGTTCGCACACTTCTAGTCTAGTGGTGGTGGGCCCTTGACCTCAATAGCAAAGTGAATGCAAAATGCTTGAGATGATAAAAACATGCAAATACAACGATATAAATAAGAGTACAGGGGAATACGAATCGACCTAGCTAACCATGTACTCTAACGGGTACATTCCCTTATTCAAATTCATTCCCAACCGTGCGGCGCGTACAGTTACGAAACTGTTCCCGCCAGAATCCTTCTACCTGCAGCTGCCCGATGCCATCTGCTCCGACGGTCCAGGTGCATCTCAACCGTCTAACATTTCGAGTCAATTTTGACTCTTCACATTCGTTCTCGATACTGTATGCTCCTTTTGCTGCGGTCGGGAGTGCAGTGTAATCTTCATTCATTGCTATTCGTAACACGTTTGAAGTGAAAAGAGCAGGAACCGCGTTGCACGGTTTGAAATTCGCTTCGATAAGGGAATGTACCCCGTAGAGTACATGGCTATCAGGCCCTCAGAAGTGAGGAAAAAAAACGCTGATTTGCTATTGAAAAGCTTTTTTTTCATGATTTTTTTGGGGCGTAAGGCTAATTGGAATGTGTTTTTCTGCATACGGTATAAGGGCTGATTTTTTAGGCAAGTTTCTTGTACCAGCATTGAAATTTCAGACAAGTTTCATGTACCAACATTGATTTGAAACAACACTAACGAACCAAGTCGTGTTGCTGAAAACGTGTGGATTCAATTCATTTGTCGAATTTTCGCGGAAAACAAAAATAATCCAGTGTCAGTCTCAATCACAGAAACGATTCATCCTTGTACCTGGCTGTAACTCGCGTCGCACAACAATTTGACGTGCTGTCTTGGGAATGTGGTAGGCTGCAAGGTGATTGGGCGGTTTCTCGTAATTACACATGGGCCACCCACTCATGTGCCCTGCGCTGGCAGCATTGCACAGCATCACGGTTGTATAACGTGTCACTTGTGGTATGTGCCAGGAAACAGGGCAAAATCAACCTCTTGGATGGCCCAACCTCGGCCATCCGTTTCTGCATGCAAGTAAGGAAACACCTGTCAGTCCAACCGTCTTCGTCTTTGCGTGCGTCTTCCCCATCGTCTCCTACCAGCACAACCATGCTAGGGTTTCTCCAGAGCCGTGTTACTCGGCAGACACTCCTGTTGGAGCTCTAGTTTCCCTTAGCCTCGCCGCGGCCTGTTGAAATACTAGGCAAGAATCAGAAACAGGAAAGAGGAGGGTTTTCACTAGCAGCAGTTGAGATACATATAGGAAACCCTAATTGGGTTGTACTCGCTGTAGAGTACCCCACTGCAGGCTAGACAAACATCACATTCTGACACGGCCGCCATGGGTGGACCCGTCGAAATGATCCTAGGCGACGACGACCACGACGATATCGACACCGAAATAGCAAGTACCGGTTTAGACCTCCTTTTTTGCTCTCTAACTCGAGCTTCTGGCAGTCTGCCGTATGACAAATCTAAGGGCAACTCGGCGATACCGATTACTACCGTCACAACTGCACCTCCAGACTCGATAACCGACATGGCCATGTCCTGCACGGAGCCGGTGCCTATTCGACCGTCGAATCGCGCCGTTGCCGCACCGGCATCGATACCGATCCCATCGTCAACTCATCCCGAGGCGGGACCGGCCATTCAAACAACTACACCGTCAACTCACCCCGTCGCCATCCCATCATCTCTCCCAGTTCCACTGTCAGCACAACCCGACGCTGGCACGGCTTCTATCCCAGTTCCTCCAGCACCACCTTCTCGCATGCCGTTTCCACCAACAAGTTCCCCATCGACGTCTTCTGCATCTCGCTACAAGCAGATGAAGAGTGAGCACGGCTTCCACAGGGGGCCTCACCGCCATGCTCAAGACCAAGGACTGGCAAGAGCATTACCCTAACCTGATGCGGCTCTGGGTGGCGGTGGCGGTCTTGCCGCTGACTACCGTTGAGTGCGAGCGGGGTTTCTCGCGCTAGAACATCATCAAGTCCTGGCAACGAGGGAGCCTCAAGGACGCTCGGCTCGGCGATTTGCTCTGCATGTCCTTGCTCAAGTACAAGCCTAACTGGGACGATATCGTGGATACCTGGCGGAACTACAAGAAAAGAAAGCCGTTCAACACATGCACCCTAGCCAGGCAGGAGGATAACAGGAGGCGGAGGGGGAAGGAGGAGGTAGAGGCTGGAGGAGGACACTAGGCCAACCCGCTTGACTTGGATGATGATGCTAAGCGGATAGTGATGCTGAGGATGATGTGTGGTATTGGGTGTAGCTAGGTTGAATCCTTGTATGATTGAATGCATGCTGCAATGCAAACAAACAAAGCAACATTCTTGGAACACTGGTTGAATCAGCCTATAAAAATGAAGCAGCACCGAACAAAAGGATTTTTTATCCGTACTAACAATGTGTTGGGCTGAGAAAAGCCCTTAGGATCTTTACAGGGATGAACTCTTGGTAGGACTGTAATAGCGGAAGCGTTTAATGAAAGATTGTGAACCACCTTGCGCTAGTATGTGAGGGCAAAGTAAGTTGATTAAAACGAAGAGATACAAGATTATATAAGAGTACAAGGAATACGAAGAGATACGGTTGTAACTACTTTTACTGTTGCTGTTGCGGTTCGATACAGTGACGACTCGGGCAACTGCTCTGTAGCGAGTCAGTTGTGTGTCCTTGCTGTCGCGCTGTACTTGTCAGGTCAAAGGTCGCTGACCTTTGACTTTCGCGTAACCTCCAGCAGTTACTTCAACCTCCGAGGGTTGACTCGCTGGTGCCTCGATATGCTTTGCTTCGCTTGTGCCTTTGGTGTTTCGACACGACAGAGGCGCTTAAGACCGATTGTTTCCAACACAATGATGCGAGAGTTGTTCTTTTAACAGTCACACTGATTTTTCAGGGTTTTTTTTGTATCCGACCCTGACAGAAAGTTTTTTTCCAGCGACCAACATTGACGAGTCAGGGTACCCCAAAACCAATCTGAGGGCCTGATGGATAGTCTACCGGCATGTCGTTTCGCATCCCTTTGTCTTTCCTGTATAAACCCGATGTATGCATGTTTTAATTATGTCAGTCGATTACATTCACTCTGGCCTGAGGTTAATACTTCCGCCGCTGCAACATCTCAAACCTAACTTCCGCTTAGTCCTGTGTAGGATTGTAACAAAACCTAAAGATACCCACGACAGCACGCAAGGCATGCAGCCTCACTAACGCCAAGGTAGCTGCTGCAAACCTCCAGCAAAACCAGTAAACGTGTAGTTCGCTGGACATACGGTACCATCGAGTTATGGATATATAACATCTGCCAAGAGAGGCATATTTGCTTGACTCTGCAGCGAGAGAGGGATCGCTAGAAAACCATAAAATTGTTCTATAAGATTTTAGAAAAGGAGAAAAAAAACTTTAAATTTAGGGAAGCCAGTATACCAGTGTAGCACCACCTATTCCGATTGCCACCGGTTCCACCAGGCTTCTTTTTTGGCACCATCCTCCTTAGAACTGCCGAACGTGGTAGACATGGTGGATGCAACGTTTTTTGACACCTTCCGTGACACCTTGATCATGGAGGCCAGTGCGTTGCGGTCCAGTGTTGACTTCTTCATCTTCTTTTCCCTCTTCTGCTCACGGAGCCAAGCATACAATGAACAAATGTAGGGGAAACAAATCAGGGTGTTGGTGGACTGATGAGAAGGCAGAAATATTGAAGGGTGGGTGCAAGAGGGTGCAGATTGGAAGGTGGGTGAAGGAAGGAGCACACTGGATGGTGGGTGAAGGAAGGAGCACACTGGATGGTGGGTGAATGAGCGAGCACATTGCATCCAAAAACACACTCAAGTCCACCCCTCTCACCTTGAACTCCAAAAGCGATGCTTTCGTAAACCCGCCTGCCTCATCCGAGCCCGCTTTCGACATGAACATCCCGAACGCCTCTGACAACTCAGTGTTGTCCCGGTACAGAAACCGCACAAACCCCAAATCCCCCTTCTCTCACCTTGAATTCCATAAGCGACGCTTCCGTGAATCCGCCGGCCTCATCCGTGCCTGCTTTCGACATGAACGTCCCAAACGCCTCCGACAGCTCCGTGTTGTCCCGATACAGGAACCGCACAAACCCCAGCCGCAGCTGCTGCAGCAGCGGCACATCCCCAGGGTAGAAGAACGGATGCGCGAGCGCTCCCGCGGCCGAAATCCGCCGCCCGGGCTTCACGTTGACGAGGGATTGCAGGAGGGACCAGCCGTGGCCGCCGTCAGCGTCGAGCATGGCGAAGGCTTTGAGCTGCGCGTCGCTGAGTGCGCGGCCTTCCTGCACCTCGCGCCACTTTGCGAGGTCGTACTCGCAGCGCTTCAGCTGGCGGTTGAACTGGATCAGGGGACTATCCGTGCGGAGGTTGGGGAAGACCTGGGCAGGGGGAAGAGGCGGGACAGGGAGAGTGGTTAGGATGGGAGGGGAGGGAAGGGAGTAGATGAGCTGGCGGTTGAACTGGATTAGTGGGCTGTCGGTTCGGAGGTTGGGGAAGTCCTGAGGGAGAGGAGGAATGGGAGGGGGAGGGGGAGGGGGAGGGGGAGGGGAAGGGGGAGGGGGAGGGGGAGGGGGAGGGGGAGGGGGAGGGGGAGGGGGAGGGGGAGGGGGAGGGGGAGGGGGAGGGGGAGGGGGGGGGATGGAGGGAACGGGACAGGAGTGGAGGGGAGGGAGTAGATGAGCTGGTGGTTGAACTGAACGAGAGGACTGTCAGTGTCGAGGTTGGGGAAGACCTGGGGAAGGGGGAGCGGGGAGGGGATGGAATGATGCAATGACATGATGGGATGATGGGATGATGGGAGAAGTACAGACGACATGAGGGGGGAGGGACAGGAAAATACGGGCGGAAGGGAAGGGAGAAAATGAGTTGGCGGTTGATCTGAATGAAGGGACTGTTTGGGCGTAGATTGGTAAAGACGTAACAAGCAATAACTCCCAGCCCCGTTATAGCACGCACCATTTGAAGGAAGATAATTCCCACACTGTACATGTCGAAACGGTCAGGGAGGTTCATCTGCAGGGGAGAGGAAGAGTGAGGAAGGACAGGGAGTGAGATTGAAGGGCAAGGACACAGATTTTTGGTTCGGGTGTTGTTGATGCAGGCACACGACACACCCACGCACATGCCCAACGAGGTGAATTTTGAGTCGACCCACACGCCCACCTTGGGTGTTGTTAATGCAGGCACACATAGTCAGACACACCCACGCACACGCCCAACCACAAGTGCATGCGCTCACGATCACACACCCCACTCACAATCAAAACCCCCACTGGCAACTAGGCAATGCACACACCTGCCAAAGCACTGGCGAGAGCAGAGCAGCGATGGTGGGGGGAGGCGCATTAGGCGTCTGAGTGCTCATTATGTACTGCTCTGGCGCTGCATAGCTGTGAGGGCAAGAGGGGCGGAGAGGCAGGGGGGGTGCGGGGGTGGGGGGGTGGGGGAAGTGGGAAAGGTTCTCGGAGTGCTCATTAAGTACTGCTCTGGTGCTGCATAGCTGGAGGATTAGGATGAAGCAGGGAGGAAGGGGGGGAATGGAGGGGGGGGGAGAAAGTGGTTGGTTGAGGTGAAGGTTTCAAGCCCATGCAAGGCCGTCTGAGTGCCGTGTAGCTGGGTTGACAGGGGAGGATGGGTGAGGGAGTGGGAGAGAGGGGTGCGAGGTTCTGAGTCTCAGTGTTCTGATGTACTGCTCTTGTTCCGCATAGGTGGGAACTAGTTAAAGGACCAACTAAGTCCTCCAAAGCTCAACAACCCCCCTTTCCCCCTCCCACTGCCTCCCCCCTTTTTGTTCTCTCTCTGTAACCACCAGGGGTCCAGCAGGGGCACGTTGGGGTTGTAGTGAGGGACCCCAGCCCACCCACCGGATGCCCACCCACCAGATGCCCACCCACCAGATGCCCACCCACCGGATGCCCACCCACCAGATGCCCACCCACCGGATGCCCACCTGCAGGTCAGCAGTGAGGGGCATGGCACAAGGCAGCCGGATGCCCACGCGCAGGTCAACATGCACAACATGTGAGGCATGGAACGGGGCAGAGCAGCACAGTACACAACAGCGCACCACCCTCTACTCACCGCGGGTCGAGCAGGAACTCGTTGGGGTTGTAGTTGATGCCCACTCGCAGGTCAGCAGCAGCACCCAGGTCAATGATCTTGAGCATTCCCGTGTCTGCATGGACGAGGGGAGGGAAGGGGGAATGGAGGAGAGAACAAGTGGTGATGGTGTAGGTAGAACCAGCAGAAGCAGAGGCAGCAGCAGCAGCAGCGGCGGCGGCGGCGGCGGCAGCAGCAGCAGCAGCAGCAGCAGCAGCAGCAGCAGCAGCAGCAGCAGCGGCGGCGGCGGCGGCGGCGGCGGCGGCAGCAGCAGCAGCAGCAGCAGCAGCATGGTGTGTGTTTCGTTTGTTTGTCCCCCCTAACTCTCTGTATTTCGTTTGTTTGTCCCCCCTAACTCTCTGTATTTCGTTTGTTTGTCCCCCCTAACTCTCTGTATTTCGTTTTTTTGTCCCCCCCAACTCTCTTTTCGTTTGTTTGTCCCCCCTAACTCTCTGTATTTCGTTTGTTTGTCCCCCCTAACTCTCTGTATTTCATTTGTTTGTCCCCACCAAGTGATCCTTCCACGACCAGGCCAGTGGCCAGTGGCCACCCATTCACGGTGCACAACTGGTCCTTGTCATCCAGAACGCATTCCCCTGTTTCTACACGCCCCTACTCGTATCGCCTACATGCCTCGACCATACCAGAGTTGTGGATCATGTTCTGTGCTTCCATGCCTGCCTCCCTGAGTCTCAGGGCCTGAACACCCCCCAGTTGCGGATTGTCCTGATCTTGGTTTGCGGCTTGATGTCATGATGCAAAATGATTGCCACCGAGTGCAGCTTGTCCACGCTCTTGAGAATGCGCTTGAGGCTGCAACCCCCCACAACCCCCCCAGCCCCACTCCCCTGCTCATGCGCGCACATTGCTTTGCTCTTAATGCCTTCATCTGTCAAACATACCCGACTTGAAAATCATGTTCCGTGGCTTGATGTCACGATGCACAATGCCCACGGAGTGCAGCTTGTCCACACTCTTCAGGATGCGCTTCAGGATGCTCCTACTCCCCTGCTAGTGCTCTCACAACCCCCTGCTACTGTGTCCATTATCCCCTCTCGTAATGCCTTCATCCCTCCACTCACCCGAGTTGAAGATCATGTTCTGTGGCTTGATGTCACGGTGCACAATGCCCACGGAGTGCAGCTTGTCCACACTCTTGAGGATGCGCTTCAGGATGGTGCGGATCACGCGCATCTCCCGCTCCGGGCCCTTGGGCTCGCGAGGCACGTACCCCAGCACTGCCTTCTCTACCTGCGAGGTGGGGGAAGGAAGAAGGAAGAGGTTCCGAGTGAATATAAAGGAGTGCTCATGGGTGGGAAATGGTTGGAGGGGCTCGCGTGGCACGTACCCCAGCACTGCCTTCTCCACCTGTGCGGGGGGGAGATCGGGGGAGGGGAGGGGAAGAGGGGGTGAGCGAATGTAGGGGAGTATGAATGGGTTGGTAATGGTTGGAGGGGCTCGCGCGGCACGTACCCCAGCACTGCCTTCACCTCCTGTGATGTGAAGGGGAGGAGGGGAGGAGGGGTGGGGCGCGTTTAGGGGATATAAAAGATTGAATGCGCGGAGGAAGGTGGTTTGAGGGGCTCCTGAGGCACGTGCCCCAGCATCATCTCCTCCTCTGGTAGGAGGGAGAGGGGGGACGAAAGGATGTAAGAAGGTTTCGTGCAATCTCATGACTCACGTTGTAGGGGAAGTTTTAATCTCAACACTCACGTTGTAGGAGAAGATATGATCTCAACACTCACGTTGTAGGGGAAGTTATGATCTCAACACTCACATTGTAGGGAAAGTTCTAATCTCCACACTCGCGTTGTAGGGGAAGTTCTAATCTCCACACTCGCGTTGTAGGGGAAGTTATGATATCCACACTCACGTATGGTCTCTACACTCACATTGTAGGGGAAGTTCTCGTCCTGCAGCACGTCAGCGAAGGTGGCATTCCCCTCGAATCTCCACACGATCCAAAAGTTGTCACGCGTCTTGGTCTTCTGCTCGGGGTGGGAGAAGGAGGGCGTGGGGGAGCAAACGAAGAGGACAGGGGAGGTGGGACGGGGGAGTGGGGAGTGTAGAGGGAGGGAAGTTCTAATCTCCTCCCCTTTATTCCCACAGCGCCGCCAACGCCCCCCATCCCCACAGCATACTTCCGCCGCCCTTCCACCACCTCAGTCCCCTCTCTCCCCCCTTCCTCCCCCTTCCAGCGCACCTCCACGAAGCCGTCGACGAAGTCCGCGCATGCCTGCGGGCACGCGCGCCTGACGCGCTCGTTCATCCACAGCTCCGCCGCGCCGAACTCGCTCGCCTTCTTCACCACGAACTGGTGTCGTGTCGCGCGCGTGACACACGGGTGAGAGGGGGACGGGAGACAGGCGGCGGAGGGGGCAGGTTGGGGACAAAAGTAGGGACGAGAAGGGAGCGAAGAATGAAGCGCGAGGTTCTAGACGAATGTGACGGGACTGGACGAGGGGGGCGAGTCAAAGTGTTAGGCCGAGCAAGCTATCCCTCACAATATGAGGCAACCCATAGCATAGCTCTCTTGCATTGCTTGACTCCCTGCTACCCCCGCAGTGAACCAGCCTCCCCTCCCCTGCTGCATACTCATTTCAACCCAACCCCTGAATTCCCCTTCCACCCGCGCTCGTCCCCTTTCCCCCATCATCCCCACTCCCGCCATCTTCCCCTGCTAGCCCTGTCCTCCGCTGACCGGTTCCCCTTACTCTCGCCTGGTCTCGCCGTACTTTCCCCTTTCACCCCTTCCCCTTATGCGCGCACCTCTTCCCCCGGCTTGTCCGCGATGGTGGCGCGGAACACGCTGCCGTATGCGCCCTCCCCCAGCTTGCGCCCCAGCTTCACGTCGGACTGGGCGCGCGGAACGGAAGGGGAAAGGGGGAGGGAGAGAGGATGGGAGAAAGGCCATATTGAGCGGAGAGAAGGGGTACAGGAAGAGGGATGCGAGGGAAGAAAGCAAACAGGCGGTTGCGGCCGCACCATGTACGCGAATTAAGACCAGGAGCGTCGAAGGGAAGGGGATGATCAGGCATTTATTCGTGGAATGTTTCGCATTAGCTTGCGAGACAGTTACCAATGGCTTCAGTTTACGAAATGGTTCGGCACACTGTCGCTGGGATTCTTTGTGTTCAGCGGAATGATTCTTCAGAAGCCAGCTAACGACGTCAGAATGTCACAGAATGTTGAAGTATCAACACACCGAATCAACTATCGCAAAAAGAATCACACGGCGCGCAAGACGCCCGTTCAGTGCGTGTAACAATGTCCGCCTCGAAACGAGTCCGATTGTATAAAAGTCCCCCTCGGGATAAATCCGCCTCGCATGAAGCACACCTTTTTTGCCAACGTGCATCTCACCTTCTTAAGCTGCGGCCGTATCTTGCGCTCGATCGGCCCGTACACGAACATATCGAAGAACCCGGGAACGACGCCCGGCGTGGCCCACATGTAAGTCCCCAACAGAAGCAGCAGCAGCACTCCTCCCACCGTCAATCTCAACTGATCTTCCGCTGCGAGCGTGCTCCGGTAGATGACGTCACCGCATTGCATGACGGTGCACGGGAGACCGACGCCGACGGCCAGGAAGAGGGAGGAAAGTGATCCGTCCGTCAGCGCGCCGTCAGAGCTGACGGCTGCCGTTAACGAGACGAGCAGGTCGTTCAGGGGTCCTGAGGCGTCGCATCGTGTGCTGAGAGCACCGCCATTCGAGCTAGAGCTATGACCGGATTTGAGTGAGCTTGGGAGGGATTGAGAGCGGCGAAGTTGTAGCAATCGCAGGCTCGCGGGAGTAGAGGTGAGCGATGAAGTTAGGGAAATGCGGGAAGCGGGAGATGCGGACGGGGAAGCTCCGCGCGGGAGACACTTTCCCGCTTGAAGACAGGAAGCTTCGACTGCTGCCATGCTTCAGA